CTGCATCTGGTGGCGGTCTCATTCTTACCACTTGACGAGTATAGCTGAGGCGCACACAGAGACGCGTCAGTTGATCGTGCATTAGCCACGTTATGCAACCACGACGTGGACTACCGATCGGCAGGTACAACGAAAAAAGAAGGGGGATGGAACCTTCTCCAGTAGCCTGACGGTTCCCGGTAGGATACTCCCCTTGCGGGACTACTTTTTTCAGATACTTGTGCGGATCCTCCGCAGAGGTACCGGTACATGTGCAGGGGCCATGCTAATCTTCGCTGTATCGTTCTGGTTTTAACCAACGCCTCGAAGGCCTATCGTTTCGTTTTTCATTTTACTTTTTTGGAAACATGGACAAAAGCATGCAGTACCATTTCTTTCTCCATTTTACATTATGGAAATTATGGAGAAAAAGCTTTCAGCACATGGCCCCGGGTACTTGCCAGGGCACTCGGTTGTTTAATCCGCAGGAGGAGGCAGGAGGGATTTGGGTAAGAGAGTGTCAGGGTGGTCCAGGTCCCCTCCAGGGGTCCACCCTATTTAAATAGACAGGGGGCTAGCAGGTAGGAGTACGGGTCCACACTATTCAAATAGACAGGGGATTAGCAGGTAGGAGTAAGGGTCCACCCTATTCAAATAGACAGGGGGTTAGCAGGTAGGAGTAGACTAAGTTAGAACATGGGGCTTGGCTGAGCAAGTGGCCTTTGGCTCAGTGGTTAGGGCACCGGTTGTCAATGCGCATTGTGGTCTGAGTTTGCGGGTTCAAAACTCCGCACCTCTGCGCAGAGACACCGGCAGGCGTTTACATAACGCATGGTCACTTGCATACCCCCTTGGGCTGTCCATGGGGTTATCTGGATGGTTGCACACTTGTCCCTTACTCAAGCTCAGCGTAGCACATGTTCGAACCATTCGAGACTGTAGTTCGGTAGGTTACACTGGTTAGTGATAAGCATGAGGTTCGGGGTTCGTGGTTTCATAGCGAAAAAATGAGTTCACAAATAAACATTGTGGGGATGCACTCTAGGGGTGTGGGCGGTCGATAACGTGGTATTGGTTACCTTAGGGCTCAGCTTGGGGGAGGGCATGGGTTCTAGGTGGGATTTGATCGGGGACTGCCAGTGCGCTGGGGGGAGGGTTGGTTGGACATTATCCTTACTGAAGGGTTGGGGCCCCTGCGGAAGTGGATGTCTTAGGGGTCCTCTGGGTTGACATAGAGCTGGGATAGGCCCTGATGGAGGATATCGTCGGGGAACCTGCATTAGGGGCTGTCTTAGGGGGTGAAGGTTGGTCTTTTTTTTTTTTTTTTTTTTTTTTGCAAAACAAACCCCTCCAGTGCTAGAGATGCTGGTAAGAGCAAACACCGCTAGCACCGGGGGAGAGGCTCCATCTATTGGTGGGAAGGTTGGTCTATTGCCTGCATGAAGAATACTGTCAGATTAGGATACCCCAGAGTAGCTCCTGTTGATGATAGAGGTTGGGGGCGCGGATGGTGGCTGTGAACCCGCTGAGGATGGAAACTGGAGTTACTCTGGGGGATTTGCTAGTAGAATAGAATGCCTAGACATCCAGTTGATGATAGAGGTATGTGGAGCAGATGTTGTGAACATCAGTCAAAGTGAACAAACAAGCGTATAACACATGTTCCGTTCACAGGAGTAGCATACATAAAGCACACCTAGACAGAGAGCAGAACCGAGTGCAGGTACCGCGTCAAATTGAAATCATGAAAAACACCGACGCGACCAGGTGAATGGACCCTACACCATGTTTTAGCCGGTCGTCTGTCCGGCTTCGTCAGGGGTCAGTTTCGTACCTAGCGCGGGAGCAGATGGTGGCCGTAAGCCTACTGAGGACAGAAACTGGAGATGCTCTAGGTTCGAATAACTTTTGCAAGAATTCAAAGAATCACCCGAGGGATCCGATGATGATAAGGCTAGGATCTCTCTGAAAAAACAGGAAAAAACTAACTAAGGTTCGCCTATGGGACTTGTAGTGGCATGCTTAACCCTATAGCTCTCGAAGTGCCCGGTACGACATGGCTCATTCGATAGTGCTTCAATCAGGGCCGGGGAGGGAGGTGAGAACCTGTTTAGCCGAGATGGCTATAACCACTGTCCGGTCGAAGATCACTAGATGATCCTGGGTATACTCAGGTAGGACCTTGGGAATAGGGATGCACCCGGGATCGGGATGACAAGTTCAAGGGTGGGAGGGTGTCTCATAGGGGACCGGTTAGGCAATACATCAGGATGATCAAATCGTCAGGTGCTGACGGGCCTGTCATATGCCTAGTGGCCACCCTCTACAACAACCTGGACTTGCAAAAAAAAAAAAAAAAAAGAACATGGGGCTTGGTCTGGTTTTGGGCTAGGGTTGGTTTGGCTTTGCTTCTAGCTGGTTATTTTGCATCCCTGGTTTTCTTTTAGGCCAAAAGGCCAAGTTTGTTTTGGCTTCAGGCCTAGCTCAGTTGGTAAGGCACGCAAGTGGCATTCAGGAGGTCTCGGGTTCAATCCCCATTGGCCTCATGCACCTTCCTGGGCAAGCTTGGCGCCCGCCACCTAGAGATATGCCATTGGTCCCCCCGAGTGGCATTGAGCAGAGACTGCTGACGTTCATAGGGGGAGGGGACCGGAGGGGAGGCACAGTGACTGGCCCATCGAAGAAGCTCGGTCCTGATGCTACCGGCTGACCCCGGGCCGGTATCGCCCACCTGCTGGAGCAGGTATCGCACCTGCTGGTGGGTGCAGCTCCCGCATGTTCCCTCGTTGGAGGCTTGAGCACGGATGTGGCTGCTACGAGGTTCCCAGTAATACTATAATGATAAGAAAAAAGGCCTGAAAGGCCGTCCTGTCCAGATTTGACAGGAAATTGAATTGGTTGGGCTTACAGAATTAGCCTTTAAAAAATAAAAATAAAAGAGAAAGGCCGATTTGTATTTTGGCTGTGCCAAGTGTTGTTGGGTTCGGCCCACTGACCTAATAAGCTGCGTGGTGGTCCCAGTATGTGACGTGTTGTTTCCAGGGCAAGTTTGTGAGGAATTGTCCTTTTCCATCCTAGACCTCCTGAAGTCATCTGTCCCATGCCCACTTTCTGTCGTACCCATATCATTCAACCCAGTTGCTGTTCTACCCCTCTCCGGACGGGGGAAAAAAGAAAACAGCCGAAGAAAAGAGTAGGTTTATGTGCATGGAAAGATAGCATAGAGTCGTGGGCCAATCCACACCATTCCCGGTACCGTCCGCCAATTCAGCCAGACCCAGTCCCCTTTTAACTTCTTGGGAAAAAGAGTAGGCTCATGCGCATGACAAGATAACATAGAGTCGTGTACACACACACACTGTTAGGCGGCAAAGCAGCAACCAATCTGAACAACGCTCCAGCAATGTCAGGCTGATTTTTTCTTTTTCCTTCTGACTTTCTTTCTTTTCTTTTTCCTTCGCAGTAAGGAGATAATGAGAGACACCAGGGGCAAGGTCCCACTTGCGCAAACTAGGAGATTTCGGCCATTGATCTTTGCTATCTACGGTCAGTATCTCTTAATTCGTGCAAGTGGGACCTAGCCCCAGGACAGGGGTCTGATGTTGGCCATTTCTGTCTTCATGCCTATCCCCACGCCTGCACCGAAACTGGGTACCAGTCCCTGCAATTTCCTTTTCCAGGGGCCAAGTCCCACTCACGCTGATTTCTCATTTCTGACCATTGATCTTCGAGATCTTAGGTTGGGAATTTTGAGAATTCGGGTAAGTGGGACTTGGCCCCGGGATGTTCGTGGAGGGATTCCCACCCTCCCCCTCTTTGTGTTATCAAAATGAGCAAGGTCTTTCATTGTTAAAAAAAAAAAGAAAAAAAAARAAAAAAAAAGAAAAAAAAAAGACATAACATACCAGAAACTTCTGCGGAATGACAGATAGACAGACAGTATGATCCTCAAATGTAAGAAGAGAGAAATAGCCCAGTCAGCATGACTGTATGCAGGGCAACTTTCAGTCCAAATACAGCGGTAATGACTGGGCGTTCCATTCGGGGGAAGAGACGGTGGAACTCTCGATTTATGCGTGTCATCCTTGCGCAGGGGCCATTTGCTAATCTACCCTTCTCTGTATCGTTCCAATTGTAACCGATGTCCCGAAGGACAGACGGTTGAACTCTAGACTCTGGGGATCTATTCTTGATTATTTTTTTTATATTATTATTTTAATTCTTGATGAATTCTTGTTTCTGCACTTCAGCTTGAGAAAAAGGAGGAGGGGAACACTAGCTCAGTTGGTGCACCCATGAACTGGTGAAATACAGACTGGAGCTCGAATCCAAATGCAATCAGATGTCCATAATAAAATCATTCTGAATCATCAATGATTACATCTCCTCAAGGCCGTCGCCCGTTTCCAAAAAAAAAAGAAAAAGAAGGGAAAAAGAAAAGAAAGGTTGTCTTGTCATAGAACAGAGATGCCGCACAAGCAGAAAAAAAGACTGAAAGTTAAAGAAAAAAAACAAAAAAAATAGAAAAGACTGAAAGTTGGTTGGTACCTACATCCTCACCACCACCACCACCCAAAAAAAAAAAAAAAAAAAAAAAATCCTCACCACCAAAGGCATCCACTTTGACTGCGGATTTTGCAAACAGGTATACAAAAATTTTGAAAAAAAAAAAAAAAACTAGACTACCAGCCGGGCCACCTGGGTCCCAGGTGGCCCGCCCGTGCAAGGACCAGGGACGGTCCCAGCAAAAAAAAAACACGTAAAAAACAAATCCAAAAAATCCGAAAAAAAACTATGTTATGCAGAAAAATAAACTGTACAACATTTGCCTCAGGGTCACATCGAAATTCTTCAACAGAAAATAAATTTTAAAAATAATGTTTTTTAAACCTTTTTTTTTTTTTTTTTTTTGGCCCGGCCGGGCAAGTGACCCCGGGCCACCCTGGTAGCCTAGAAAAAAAAAACAAAAAACATAATTGGAGATTATTGGACAAACAAATAGAACCTGGGGTTTGGAATTGAACATCATGGACAATTTATTGGCTCAGGTCTTCAGCAACTGATGGAAGGCCTCTTGGGGAACATCTATGCTGCCTATTCTCTTCATCCTCTTCTTCCCTTCCTTCTGCTTCTCCAGTAGTTTGCGTTTTCTAGTGACATCTCCTCCATAACACTTCGCTAGGACGTTCTTACGCATGGCGGACAGCGTTTCCGACGCAATGGGTTTGCCTGCAATGGCTGCTTGGATCGTTACCTCGAACATTTGCCTGTCAATGACTTTCTTCAGCCTCCCCACGAGCTCTCTGCCTGCGCGCTGCGCCTTGCTCCTGTGGACTATGGAGCTGAGGGCATCAACCGGCTGGCCATTCAGAAGCACATCCATCTTCACCAAATCGGCCTCCTGGTACCCGGCTTCTTCGTAGTCGAAGGAGGCGTATCCTGAGGTCAACCCTTTGAGCTGGTTGTAGAAATCGGTGACCACCTCCCGGAGAGGAAGCCGGTACTTGAGCAAGGCCCGGCTGCTGTCAATGAAGGAGTATTCGAGCTGCTCCCCTCTCCTCTCCGTGCAAAGGGTCATCAGACTGCCAACGTACTCTGCTGGGGCAATGATGGTTGCCGTGACCACCGGCTCCATGGCCTTTACCAAACGTGATGTGGGTCGTGCGGGGACCGTGGCTGGATTCTGCACATCCAAGCGGGTCCCGTCTGCATACTCAAATACGTAGGGAACAGTGGGAGTGGTGGTGATGACTTGAGCTCCGTACTCCTGATCGAGCCGTTGGTGAAAAACGTCCAGGTGCAGGAGCCCCAAGAACCCACAGCGGAAGCCAACGCCAAGGGCACCGCTGGTTTCCTTGCTGACGGACACACTGGGGTCATTACAAGTCAGTCGGGCGACAGCGCTCTCGAGGGCCTCGAACTCCGAACCGTTTGCAGGATAGACCCCTGCAAAGACCATGTGTTTTGCGGGCTTGAACCCAGGCAGCGGCTCCACTGGGCACTTGGCATGATGAAAGGTGTCCCCCACGCTGGCCTCCTGCGTACTCCGCATTCCCGTGATCACATACCCAACCTGTCCGGTCAGCAGGACGTCGGTCGGCGTGAGCTCAGGGTGCATTATCCCCACATCCAGCACCTCGTAGCTCTGACCGGTGGAACAGGACACCACTCGGTCTGCCTTCTTCAAGGACCCGTCCACGACGGCCACGTGACAAATCACCCCCTTGTAGTCGTCGTAGAAAGAATCGAGGACTTGCATTCTCAAGGGTTGCAGGGGATCACCACCTGGGGGCGGGATGCGTTCGATCACGGCCGGAAGCAGAGCGTGCAGCCCCTGACCAGTTTTTGCTGACGTCAGCAGCACCTCGCTTGCCGGCAAGTCAAATGTGCGCTCCAACTGCAAGATCACACGCTCTGGGTCGGCGTTCGGCTGATCAATTTTGTTGACGATTGGAATTATGGTAAGACCAGCTTCGAAAGCCAGATAGAAGTTTGCAACAGTCTGGGCCTGGATCCCTTGACAGGCGTCCACCAAAAGGAGGACCCCTTGGCATGCTGATAGTGAACGGGACACCTCGTAGCTGAAGTCCACGTGTCCCGGGGTGTCTACAAGATTCAGCAAGTACCGCCCCACCACCCCAGCCCCCTTGGACAGACCATGACCACGTCCTGCAACTGGCACTGAAACTGGACCTGGACCTGGACCTGGACCTAGACCTGGACCTGGGCCTGGAACCGAGTCCGTTGTAGTAGCTAACAGTGAAGCAAACCCTGGTGGTGGTGGATTCACCACCGTTCGGGAAAGTGGGAGTGCAGGTTTGGGAGTAGGTTCGGCAGTGGGTCCTGGCTGTCCTGACGGGTTAGGAAAAGATGGTGATGCAGCAGAAGCTACGTCAGGGTAATCGAAAAACATTGTGGCGGTCTGTGCTTTGACGGTGATGCCCCTCTCTCTCTCCACCTGTAGCTTGTCAAGGTATTGCGGCTGGCCGTGATCTTTGCGGATCGTACGTGTCAGCTCTAGCAAGCGATCTGCCAGAGTGGACTTGCCGTGATCCACATGAGCGATGATTGAGAAATTGCGCACTCGAGATGGCGGGAACTGCGACAAATCCAGCAGCTTTTTCCCGCCACCCTTCCCGTCGCCTTCACTGCGCGCCGCCGACGATGATGACGTCTGCAGATCCTCCTCCTGCCTCCCCGCGTCCACGGGGGCGGCGGTATCTCCAGCAATGACAACGCTTGCCTCCTTGCCGACTGCTAAGCTGCTCGATTCATTGCCACGCGGCACTTCAACAGCACCGCAAGCTGCTGCTGATGAGGTCGAGAACCGGCGCCTCATTGACAGGTGTTGTTGCGCGATGCCCGCCGCAAAAGGAGGAACAACAAGGATGCTGTCGGGGACGGGCTCTCCCAGCCGCCCAGCAATGGCGAAAGAACGCGAGTTCGAGGCCGCCATCCGATCCATCGTCGCAGTCTCCCTCAGTCTCGGTCGATGCCATGGCGGACGTGACAAAAGCCGTGAGCTTGAAGACGCTGTTGAAGATCCGAGGGCCTGGCTGATGATCTCTTCTCTCCCCTCCCTGCCACTCCTTTGGGCCGATAATAGCCACGTCAGATGATGTCCTAACCCTGACACGTGCCGGCGGACAGCAGCAATTCCGGTCCCACAGCGGCACAAACCAGGAACAAGCAGCGATGGCGGACGGATCATCAGTGAGTGATTACAGTGGGATCACCTGGACGAAGGACGCCGTGAACGGGACAGAACAGAACGGAATGGTACTACACACTGCGGCGACGACAACCTTCAGCCGAAGCCAGGGTGGTGAGGAGGCAAGATTTCGAACAGTAGAGCGCCGCATTCCGCGCCGACGTACTCGCCCACCTCTTTTCTTGACCTCCTACTCTCAGGGCATACTCACCCTACTGTAGGGCTTCGGTGGATGCACCTGACCGGAGTTCCACCATGACCTGGATGCATCTGACGGCAACTACCTCCAGAGCTTATTCCAAAAAGTGCTCGTGTCAGTATGCTCTAAATAATGCCGATGTGAAAAACAAAGTACGATTTGAGTCTCCTCAAGGAGCAGGATCCCCATCGCCCACGTGGATGCTCAGTTCGCTCGACGAAAAGAAGACTGCACGAGAGAGAGAGAGAGAGATAGATAGATAGAGAGAGAGAGAGAGAGAGAGAGAGAGAGAGAGAGAGAGAGAGAGAGAGAGAGAGAGATTCACTCCGGGTTTGAGCAGTGGGTCACGCGCGAGAAAGGAGATGGGGTGAAACTCGGGCACTCGGAGGGTCCAGCGCTCAGGAGTACCGGGGCATCTGGACAAGTTGAACAGGTGCCCAATAGGGGTACATGCGAAACATGCCAGGTCGAGTGAAAAATTCGCCGGAAATGACACCACCTATTAACCATATGTGGCCAAGTCCAATCGACAAGTGGGAAGTTCGGCAAATTTTGATGACTGTCAGGAGGCCATGACACGATACCCCCGGTTATAGGGGCATTCGAACAAAATGGGCACATCTTTCAGGGGCATCCGACAAAATTTTCAAGTTCTTTCTTCTGTCCGTTTATAAAGGGGCCAGCCCCCCACATCCTTTGTTGCATCCACCCAGGACAATAAGGGCCTCGCCGCACCACCACCAAATCATCAATTTTGGAAGTGCAACTTCACCACGCCAGCTCCCCAATTCAACTTGTCAGACAAGAGGGTAGGACGGGGTCGACTTGTCAGACTAAAGGGTAGGACAGGGGGTCGACTTGTCAGACTAGAGGGTAGGACAGGGGGGTTGGGGGTGCGCCACGGCAAAAGATGAGAGGAAGGGTGGGTGGGGCCTTCAGAGGGGTTCATCTGGACAACAGAATGGCCAATTGCAGCGCGTGACTGTCATCTGTATCCCACCTCTACAACTGTTATACCGCGTCGAGCGCGGGGACGCAGCCATTCGGGCGGGTAGCATGCTTTATGTTCTAGACAGTAAACTTGGCAAAGGTCTTATGAAGTGGGGGATGGCCAGCCTTCAGGAAGGTAGTGGGCCTTGCCACACCACTCCCGACTTGGGTAAATTTTCGGGAGTGCTCCCGAAAGTGAAAACCCGCTCGGGAGTGCCTTTCGCCACACTACACTCTCGACCCGGCTGCGCTCAAAGTCTGAAAATGTCATTTGCCACATATGGACATGATTAGTGTGAACCAGTCTGGCAGAAGTCGTTTGTCCCTTCGGGCTCCACTCCCGAATCTGGGATGAAACTCGGAGGAGCGAAGGAGGTCTCTTGAAAAAAAAGCTTTGCAGGCGGTGAGCTCGGGAGTGCTCTCGGGAGTCACATTCTAACAGCTCCCGAATTCAATCTGACAGGTTGAACTCGGGAGCTGGTGTGGCGATGCAGTGCGTTCCGTTCTAGATTTCATTACTTGGTCGTAGTAAAGATCAGAATGCTTCGATACTGTATTTCTGGGAAGATGCAGTAGAAGAGAAAAAAAACAAAAGCGGAAACGACCCAGACCCAAATAGCCCGCCCCCAGTTTGCAACGGGAAAAAACTCTATCCCTCAAAAGGGAAACAATGGACGGCGCCCTATACTAAACTGTGTACCGCGCACAGCGCAGAGGCGCAGCCCGGAGGTAGGGAGGACTATGTCGCGGAAACAGAGGTGCAAAGGCAGCGAAGTGTTTGTCCTGGCCTTTCCTGGGTGGTTAGCAGATTTGGGTCTTGTTCGTGTATTCGGACAATTCGTTAGTCATTTGGACGATTCAACAATCTTGTTTTAACAATCCCGTCCCAGGCCCGGACTTAACCTTGCATGGAATTGACGGGCTGAAGGGGAAAAAAAACAATGAAAAAGGAGATAGATTCGGACGTAAAGTGCGGGCATTCCTGAAATAGGAGGAAAGCAACAAAAGGAGAAAAAGAAAAGAAACAACGAATTGCCCCTGACAGCAAAAACAAAAAAGAAATTGAAAAAGCACGTTCCAGCAGCAAGCGTTATCCCAGGCTTGACCAGCACGAACTGTGCCAGAACCAACACATGCTCCTCATATTCTACCTGCACACACACCCACACCCACACACACACACAGATACAAACATCAGTCGAGTGTGACATTAGTGCCACAACCACCCAGAGGAACATCACGTAAGTGACATTCCACCACAGGGGCACTCTTCTACCCGCAACCACACACACACACACACACACACACACAATCAAGTATAGCATTATTGTCAAAACCAACCAGATGAACGTCAGGTAAGTGACATTTCACCGCAGGGACATGAAGAGGCATGGTTGCAGATAGATGAGAAGGGGTCGTCGGGGTAAATGCGGAGCTTGAACTCTGTTGATGTGGCCAGATCAAGGAGTCAGGGAGGTAACGGTATGAGAGGGATACCAAAGGCACTGGATTGCTTCCTTTCTTTTTTTTTCTTTTTTTTTTAAGGCCCTTGTGCAAGACCTCTATCCTGGTGGTGGTAAGAGAACCATCGGGATTGAGGCTTTGCCTGGCAGGCCGCTCCATCTATTGATGGGAAGCAACACCTGCTGGAAACCGGGTCCAGCGTCCCTTTCCTCGTTCCTTTTGTTTTTCAATTAGGACATTCCTTCCCTTACGGGTCCTGGTCCCGTTTCTATGCACAGGAGCTCGAGTATGGTTCCTATTTCACTTCCAAGTCACAACCCTATTGGAATCAATAAAATGGACCCCGGAGGGTTAAATCTGATTGCTTCCTTTCTTTAATTTTCCGTTTCATTTCCTCGTTCCTTTTGTTTTTCAATTAGGACATTCCCTTCCGGGTCCTGGTCCCGTTTCTATGCACAGGAGCTCAAGTATGGTTCCTATTTCACTGGCACGTCGCACAAGACGAGGCAACCCAGCCCATGTGGCTGGGCACACTCAAGAACTGCTGATGAGCAGCCCTGCGTGCGAATCCTGATGGTACCTGTGGCCAATAAGTCCCATTACAATACCTCAAAACCTTTCAGGCCTAGGGGCCGTAGTCTGGTTCCTATTTTTTCACTCGGAACTCGGCAGAGTCGAGGCAGAAATGGACGTCAACTTGGCAGAGGATAGGTGAGAGAGTGTACTCCTAATGTGTTCGGGTATGCAATGGTGTTGTTTCTATCAGCTGAGGTCTTGCCAATTTGCACCCAAGGGCTGATCCGAGGTCCCGAGGCGAGGGCTCCCTCTACACCTTATGGGATCGAGTGCCGCCATATGCACTTTCTGCAAGGCCACAGAGAAAGTGGAGACTGTGACAGATTGTTTTCCCGGACTTTCACTAACTCATCAGCAGGTTGTGTGACCCACCTCACACTATATTTCGTATGTTCGTTCTTAGTGACGCTCATTCGTTCAGACTTAGCAGTTCTTTTAGGGAACAGGATGGAAGAGGAGGAACATTTCGCACTTCTACACAGTGGAGGAGTCAGTAGTTATCGGAGAGGAGACGAGAGGAGGAGAGAGAACGGACTCAGTACTCACCGGCACAACAGACTGGCGTGAGGGGCAGTGGTTGCTGACACTGGCAGGGCCGAGTTGCTTTGAACGTTTAGCACCAGGAGGGGAGATAGGGAGAACAAAGAGGAGGCCGATAGAGCAGACTGGTCGGAAGGGCAGTGGTCCGGTCAGGTTGCACAATGCAGGGGTCTTCAAACAGTAGGAGACGAGAGGACGGCTAACGGCCATAAACAGTACATGAATAATTTGGGTGAGGTGTGCGGGAGAGGCACATCCTCCGATCACACTCCACAAACAGGTGACAGGATGGCTCCTAGGGGCAGGGCCGCTACAGCTGTATACAGGGGCACAAACCGGAAGAAGAACAGAGGTAGACGAAGGTGGTGTGGTGCACACTTGTTCCTACTTTTTATAGTTGTCCTTTCCTATACCTTGCGTTGCGTTCTCCTTTGCACTGCGCGAACCATGGCCACTCGATTCACTATTCACTAACACAAATCATGCAACTACCGGTCATGATGCAGAGAACTACGCGCCCTCTCTCTCTCTCTCTCTCTCTCTCTCTCTCTCTCTCTCTCTCTCTCTCTCTCTCTCTCTCTCTCTCTNCTCTCTCTCTCTCTCTCTCTCTCTCTCTCTCTCTCTCTCTCTCTCTCTCTCTCTCTCTCTCTCTCTCTGTGTGTGTGTGTGTGTGTGTGTGTCTCATGCAGATTGCACTTCAAGCGCTCGTGGCAACGAGCACCTTAGGACCCGTAGATTGCCTTCGTGAGATCCAAGGGCCACCGGTGTTGACGTCACAAATACAAACTCCATGTACACGCCTCCAAATACAAACTTCACGATGCAGTCGGTCCTTGTCTCCTGCCATGTTGATCTCTGCGGGCAATCTCTTGTACTACGGCAGAGGACAGCTTTCAGGCGAAGAGAGACGCAAAAGAGAAAATCACAGACCACAACGAGAATGCATCCCGTCTGTATTGAATCCTCCATTTAACCATTAAACACATCTTCTAGACGTAGGTCTCTCTCGCCCTCTTGGGCCCAACGCTAAACTAACAAGCACCTAGGCGCACGCAGGGCAAGTGCATTTTTTTTAATTGTTCAATGGCTCTCGAGGATCTATTCTTCAAGCCGGTTTGAAACCTCCACACTCTTTAAGGATATACGAAACAAGTAAAAGAAGTCACTCACAGATCCCGGACTGTCAAGGCTTTGATGAGACTAATTACGACCTTACACCACACACCAAATTTCAGGAGTCCAATTCACGAATCATCAGGGGCTAATAACTGCAGCCAATTAAATTGATCATTTATCTTGAAGATCTTTTTTTTTTTCCCCCGGATGATTGTCATGGAACATCTGATCGCACTTGTCGATGGAGTGGATTACCTAACGATCAAATGGACAAACTCATCATCAGGCAATCCATGGATGACCTCATCACGTATCTGACTGATCGGGTCATCCAGGTAAGGCTTTGAGACTAATTGATTGGGACCTTACAGTATACACTACATACCAAATTTCCGGACTAAATTGTCGGCTAAAGTCAATTCACGAATCATCATATAGATTAGCTAAAGTCAATTAAATAGATCATTTATCTTGAAGACCATTCAAATTTTTTGGGGGATGATTAGCGTGGAACATCATCCGATCGCACTTGTTGTCGATGAATTACCTACTGATCTGGTGGATTAACTTGTGATCAGGCTATCCATGAATGACCTGATCAGGTATCCGATCAGGTAATCAGGACCTTAATACACCACATACCAAATTTCAGGATCACATTGAAGGCCATTTCACGAATCATCAGGGATTAGTAGGATTACCTGCAGCCAATCAACTTGGTCATTTGTCTTGAAGATCATCATTAGATTCTTACCCCCAATGGCATTGGTTGTCATGGAATATCTGATCATACATAATTGGCCATCGGATACCTAATTAATGATCACGCGAATTAACTCATGATCAGGCAATCTATCTATGGATCCATGAATCAGATCACTTTCCCAATCAGGTAATTCATGAATCACACCCGCTAACTTAAGGGCAAGACGTGCATTACCTAAGCGCGTAACCTCGCAAGTTCTACATCCACTAAAAAGGGGATAAAACGAGCTTCAAACAAAAAAAGCATCATAGCATGGACTTAGACAGAGCTTGAAGCAAAAAAGCATAGCATGGGCATAGACAGAGTTTGAAACAAAAAGGCACAGCATGGACCTAGACAAGCCCCTCGGGGGGCGGGACGGGGAGGGAGGGGAATCGCAAAGGGTTGTCAAACACACTTATTACGAATGGGATCACAACACAAGACTTGAAAAACACGCTTCTTAGGACGAAACGAAAAACGAAACGACTGCATCTTCCTGCATAAAATGGCCAGGTTCATCGATTTTCTATAAATAGTGACGACTGTATTTGCCACCTTTCGTGGGCA